CACTCCACAGAGACCATAGAGATGTTTATTCGGAGGTCTGGTTTCAGCTCTGTTTTCAGCTTGTTCTCCATATACCTTTGGAGAACCAGCTGCTTCTTGCCCTCCAAGCCCCAAGGCCAGACCATCACCCAGCGCTCTGGCCATCTACCGCCTTCTACATCCTGCCTTCACCAAGGTGACTCTCTCCTCAAGGCTGCTACCCCCATCACAGATCATTACACGAAACTTGGATGGTTTTCTGTTTTCTCGAATGTAGAACTCCTCAGGCCTGGAAGACATTTAACCATCTGTTGCTGTTTGCTGTTCTGAGGTTTTTCACTTGGTATGACTTTGGTCTCTCTAACTAAGCAGCAGGTTCTTCCCAGGCCTGTCCTTTGCTGCTTCCAGTGGGAGGTTGGAAGGGCTGGATGAATGCAAGAATGACTGAGTGGTGATGCCTCCAAGCCAAGCCATGTAGTCTTGAGAGGTTAAACTGCGGTGTGTCCTCAAATGCTTGTTCTCATCCTGAGTTCTGAACTCTGGGCAGAGAGTCTGCCTGGGGCCCTGCAGCTCCCCATCCTTAGGATCCAGATGAATAAAGACAGTATTGCCCCTCCCCCCAAAAAAAGTCAGACTAGCCTTTGATGTCTAGAAACTCCATCTTGAGGACCTACTGTGTGCTCATGCCTGTTGAGAGGGGCTGCAGAGGAGGAAGAGAGGAGGGGCCTGATTACTGGGTTTCTGCCCTCTGCCAGTTCACAGTCTAGATCAGTGGTTCTCAACCTTCTGGCCCTTTAAATACAGTTCCTCATGTTGTGACCCAACCATAAAATTATTTTCGTTGCTACTTCATAACTGTAATGTTGCTACTGTCATGAATTGTAATGTAAATATCTGATATGCAGGGTGGTCTTATGCGACCCCTGTGAAAGGGTCCTTAGACCGCCAAAGGGGTCACGACCCACAGGTTGAGAACCGCTGGTCTAGATGGAAAAAGAAGATATACAGGCAGGAGACCCAGAGCAGGTCTGAGGGTGTGTGGCAACAGCCAGGGCTGTGGAGTGTGGGTCAGTGGGTACCAGAAGGAAGAGAGCGATGGTAGCTCAGCTGAACACAAAGAGGGCTTCCTTCCTCATGGAGGAGCAGGAGCAAAGGGAAGTGAGGAGCAGGAAGCAATGGAGAAGCCTCCATAGCCTCCATAACTACACCACCTGCGCCAAGATCCACACCACAGGGGGCTTCCTGATACCCCCCAAAATAAATCAGCAAATACAGAGAGAAAATGAGAAGCAATTGTTTCCAGCTCCCACTTCCACTTGCCAGCCTACTCCCTCTCAGAGGATGGAATAATTGTGGCCATGAAGTAGCACTTGGATAAGTTTTAATGTTTAAATGTTACAGTAGCACTTTGCCCCCATCTTTCCCTAATTACATTTCTCTTTGGTGATCTAAAATTTAAAAAAATATATATTAGCTCAAGTCTTTCAAGGGCAAGGAAACCAAAGAACAAACCTAACCCTTGTTCCTTACAATTTTCTCAGGGGCCCTGCTTCTTTATTACATTAGTTTGAGACATGTGTGTTATTATTTTATCCCCAATACTCTCCTGTGGCAGAAAGATTGGAGCCTAAATGATGCAGCTCTGTACCTTTAAGAGATCAATGCTTTGGCAGAAGCTGCTTCTGCTGCTGTTACACAGGGTAGCTCAGTTATATGGAGCCTTGTGTCCTGGTTGCTTCTGTCCCAGCAATCTGGGGGGAGGTGGGGCATTTCACCAAATACCTGTCATTGAGCTGAGAGGTGAGGAATGTGTTACCCTAAGGGGAGACAGCCCAAATCCAAAATAATCCTCAGGTGGGAGAGGTGGAAGGATAAGGAGCATTCACCTAAGAAAGGGGCTCTCCACAGCTTGGTGTCCACATGTGGAGAGACACAGGGAGTGGGTGATGGTGCAGGGGGAAGAGGCATAGTCCTGGAGGGAGTTGGCCTTATGCCATCTGGAGTTTGCACAGGCATCTGAAATAACCAGATGCCCCCTTTCATTAACAACTCCACTCTCCCACCCACTCATTCCTGGGGACTGCTTTTATTTATGCATGACTTTTAGTATTAATAATAATATAAATAATGAATAATTTATTTAAAGGGGGGCCTCCCCTGCACAGGCCCCTCCTTTCTCAGCCCTACTCAGCTGGCTCCCTTCGCTTCCCCTTGTTCTTGCTTCACTTTGAGGAGGGAAAGGGGCAGGGAGAGAAAGAGAGACCTCAAGTAGGAATTATTTTCCTAAACTCCTGCTTTGGCAGAAACTATATTCCACTCCTGTTGTGAGATCCAGGGTGGTAAACACCAGGGCCACAAGATGATGCTGGAGGAGGTATTTTGGACAAAGTTATTGGCCTCTGCTGATGTGTCCTGAAAGAAAGGGGAGGAGAAGGTCTCAGCCTGGCGGGTACACACACACAAGCAGCGTGTGGCTACAAATAGGGTCTATGTACACATCCACACAAGCACCCGCAGCCCTGATAACACATACCTTCTAGCCACACACTCAGACCCTCTGTGTGCCTACGAGGGACATGCTTCTTCTCATTACAGCACTTCACAGGCACACCAAGCACACAGGCACGTGGCAGAGAGCCTCTCTGTGTGAGTTTCTGTTTGATTCCATCAACTTGGATGATTCTTAGGCCATTATATAACACTGGATAATGTAAGCCCGGGAACCAAGTTATGAATCAACTATACTTACACATGATTACATCAAGCAAAGGCAGGAAAATCTTTAAATGAAAAGATGCAGTTTCACAATTACAGAATCGTACTTGCTGTGCGGTTTGGGCCCAGGATCCTCCGGGAGAGGTGTCCCAGGTGGGCTGTGGGCTCTGGGCCTGGGGCTGCAAACCTCGGGGCCTCCTCAGGCCTCCTCCTGGCGCTGGAGAGCTCTGCGCTGTGGTTGTACCAAAGGGTCTTGGTCTCGGGTTTTCCGGCAATTGGGGTCTCGTTTCTTTAAATAAAATTTTAAGCATATCGTCTAGTAACGTCACGTAATCCGAGGGCAAGAAAAGAGAAACCCAAAACACTCAAAAGGGGTGTTGGGGACCAGGCTAGGGTCAAGTCAGCAACTCTGCCCCGAAACCCCACTAGGGAGCGGCGCGTTATTTTAATTAGCCCGGCTCTGAAGCCAAGGGGCTGCCTTGGAAAGGCAACTGTGAGAGAGGATGGGATGCGGGTTAATATCGTTAAAATGAAAATCTGCTCTCCCAACCCAAGTTTACCACCACATTCACCCCCAGAGGCGGGGCTGTTTGCACCGGCTCCCGCACCAGCCACTCCCTCTCCCGCGCAGCCGAGGTTCTGTCCCCGGCGGGTCTAGCGGGGAACCCGGCGGAGTCCAGGCTGGGCGGCCGGACCCCTGGCCCTCGTCCGCAGACGCGCTCCCAGCCCCGCACTCTGAAGCGGCAGGTTCCGCAAACGAAGCCCGTGAGGGGCAGCGCACGGCGCGCGAGTCTGGGTCCAGTTGCAGCCCAAAGAGCGATTCGGGGACTTTATTTCTTTCATGGTCGATTAAGGAAAAAAAGAATTTTTTTTCTTTCAATTAGAACCAGTAAAGTGGACGAGGGCAAAATCAAGCCGGTCCCAAAATCAAGCACTGCCTCACTGGCCACCGCACCCGGAGCCTTCTACCTTCCCGGCGGGCGAGCGGGCCGAGGCGCCAGGCTCCTACCTTCTTCCCGCCAGCGGCCGGCCGGACCAGCCGCCGTTCTTCGAGGAGGGGGAGGCCGTCCGGGACGGAAACACCCACCTCCAGCCTTTGCAGGCGGGCTGTCCCCGAGTCGCTATTCCCCGTCCCCCCAGAGCGGCCCCAGTGCTCCCCAGTCCGGTTCTCCCAGGTGGCTCGGGCGGCGGCAGATGCCGTGCGGGAGGGCGAAGGTTTGGGGCTGCTCTGGCAGGTTGGGAATGCGAGGGAAAAAGCGGAGACGGAGAGACAGCGCGCGCGCGAAAGAGAGCCCTTGTCTATAGATTTATCCACATAATATATATTTATGTAGCTTTTTTTTTTCTCTCGACACTGATCAATGCGCACTCGGATCTCTGGGCGGACTCCCTCCAAGCCGGCTCCCTTTTTATAATCTAAATAAATAAATAAAGGGAACCAGATGGGAGAGAAAAGCGCCCATTCCACCTTCGCCGCCGCCCCGCCCGCCATCCCTGCCTTTGCTTTGCCCGCCTGGCGCCCTAAAAGAGCTCGGTGGATAATGCCCCCCTACATACCCACACGAAAATGAAAACCTATGTTTTTGAAATACAAAAAGAAAAAGTTGCACCTGCTGCTATTACCCAAAAAAAAAAAAAGGCAAAGAGGAGGCCAGCAGCCCCGTTTCTAACGGGAGCCCGCTCTCCGTGGCCGCCGCGCCGGAATCTCAGCGCCTCCCGAAGAGCCATGCGCCTGGCGCTATTTATAGCCGGGGGCTGTCCGGACCGTACCACCGCCGCTCGCTGGGGCCGCCGACGGGGGAGGCGCGCGGGGCGGCACCGCCCCAAGCCGCCCTGCTTCCGGGCCACCGCCCCGCCGCCGCGCGGGAGTCCGCCCGCCCCATAGCGCCCTCTCCGGGCCCCGCTTCCCCCTCCTTTCTCCAGGGCACACTCGCCGCCCCCACCCCTGGTCTGACTGGGAACTTGAACCGGTCCAGCCTGTTTTAAACGGAAAGGACAGAGATCCTGTCTGTTCAATGTAAAAAAAAAAAAAAAAAAAAAATCAGATCAGACCGCCGAAAGAGAGAGAAGAGAGGAGAGGGAGGGAGAGAGCGGGGGGGGGAGACGGGAGAGAGCGCGCGAGCGCGAGCGAGCGAGAGAAGAGAGGAGAAAGAGAGAGAGAGCAGAGAGCGAGGTATAGAGCAACCGAGGGGGAGAGAACCCGAGTGTGTGTATGCGTGTGCGTGTGTGAGCGCGAGCGAGCTTGCGAGGAAGAGGAGCGAGAGAGTGCGAGCGAGAAAGAATAAAAGGAAAGAAGATTTTTCTCTATGTATATAAAGATGGCCACGTTAGCAAACGGACAGGCTGACAACGCGAGCCTCAGTACCAACGGGCTCGGCAGCAGTCCGGGCAGCGCCGGGCACATGAACGGATTAAGCCACAGCCCGGGGAACCCGTCGACCATTCCCATGAAGGACCACGATGCCATCAAGCTGTTCATTGGGCAGATCCCCCGCAACCTGGATGAGAAGGACCTCAAGCCCCTCTTCGAGGAGTTCGGCAAGATCTACGAGCTTACGGTTCTGAAGGACAGGTTCACAGGCATGCACAAAGGTGAGTGCACCTTATCCTCCTAACTTTGCTGGGGAGGAGAGGGCGGGCGGGCTGGCCGGCCGGCCGCGGACGAACCGGAGACGGCGCGAGAGGCAGCCTCGGGCGGACGCCGAGAAAGGAGGCGCTCGGGCAGCAGAGACCAGGACTGGGGTGCGTGGGGAGCTGTTTGCTGGGGCAAGGCTGGGTTTTGGGAAAGGAGCTGACAGAAGCGGTGCCGTAGGGAGAGCAACTGGAGCAGAAGAGGAAGAGAAAGAGAGAAGGTCGAGGAGGAATGGGGCTTGTATTTGGGGGTACGGCGACTTGAATGATTGGGATGGGGACAGCTGCACCGCCGAGCCCGGGACGCTGAGCGGCAGACTGGCAGGCGCGCAGCCGGTCAGGGACCGAGGGTGCTGTCCATCGCCGTGGTGCTGAAAATACTGAGGAGATTCGGTGGTCTCCGCTCAGGGCCAGAGTAGCAAGAGCGCAACCGTCTAAAAAGGAGGGAGGTGACAAATTCAGAGATATTCTTATTTCGCTACCAATTTAACAGTAAACTCTCCCTGTCGAGCTGTGTTTCTCAATAATCCGGTTGTGGTGTGAGTGGTGGGGGAGGGGGTGGATATTTGAAGGAAGGAGGGACAAAACCTAAGACAAGAATTAGCAAGGAGCCAGCCATCCCCTGGGTGGTATAAGGAGTTGGGGAAGCCTGGATGATCCCCCCCTTCTCAGGAAAGTGGGGTTTTAGAGGGAAATTTGTATGTGCAAGATATGCATTTTAAAGGGTGTAGCCTAATTATCCCAAACTCACCATGCAGAGAGGTTTATAGTACATTATTTCTCTCCCTTGAAGCAATCAATGCTAGTGAGTGCTTGGGGGAGGGGAGACAGAATAATCAAAGAATTAAAACCTAGCAACTTTTTAGGAAAGTGGTCATGGGAATTGTCTGCAGCCTGCCTGTTTTTCTCCTTGTTTTATTATCTTTAAGGCAGAGCCCCAAATGTGTTCAGTTGTAGGATGTGTGTGGGTGGCTGGTGGGTGATGAAATTAGCCCAGTGCTCTGCTCCCTAACAGTAATGTATAGGATGTGCAGCAGGGATTCATTGGGGCTGGAGCTGTGTGGGCAAGTTAAATGCTTTCTGAGAGAGACTGATCGTCAGGCAGAGAAGGAGCACCGTTCTAAGGAAGTTGTAAGGGATGTGTATGGATGTTCTGTTTTTAATAAACAGTAGTGTGGAGAGCCACTGAAGATGCTGTGTTAGAGCTGGTGGTTTTAATGATGAAAACACACACACACACACATGCACATGCACACGAACACCCACCCGCACAGAGAGAGCAGCCTCATCCTTGGCCACAAATGGGCTATGAACAGAGCTGATCCTCCGGCACATTAGGTGCAGAGCGCAGAGCTGTCTGGCTCTCTAAGCAGCAGTGGTTTTCACTATCACAACCGCCCTCCTCCAGCCCTCCCTTCATCCGAATACTAAGCACAGCTCCAAACTCTTCATAGTTGGAGTCCCAGAGAGCAGTTTTTATTGGCTTTAGCATCTTCCAGCTTGCCTGCTGAGGAGTAAATCTTAAAGTTAATGGCATGTTGAGCCGCACAAAACCACGGCAGAATGGAAATATACTAGGTTTGTTGGGGTGGGGTGAGGGAAGGGGCTGTAATGGATAAAGAAACCAACCTTTATCCAATATGGAGAAAATGTTCAGAAGAGAAATGCAAAGGTGGACTGGGGAGGCAGTGTTTGAAATAATATTTGTTTCCTTTCCCCCCTCCCCCAAATCAACCATATCTTTGTAGTTTTTCCTTTTCCAATCAAGCTCCATAGAGGCTAATCAATGTTTGTATCAAACCTTTGTCATTCTAATATGTCCCCAGATTTTAAAATAGTAATAATGAAAATTAAAAAGCATAGGTAGGGAAATTCTTTACCCATCTTAATGATCAGTTCTTGTGACAATTTGAGATTTTTAAAGTTAGAAAAAATCAGAACCCACTAGAGGCGAAAGACAGTTGTGAAGACCCGGGCTTCCTATGAGATCTGGATTGGAGCACTTTATTTGATGCTTTATTTCAAATGAAGATAAACTTTAACAATATTTCTTGCTTTCTTCTCATGATCCCTTCTTGCTGGTATCATCACTGTCTCTGATGTTATTTGGACTCCCTTGTACTGTAGCAAAAAAGTAGAATTATCATCATTTGCATCAGGAAGGTAGAGAAGGTTATGATACATTTATATTGTGTGCATCGTCTCATATATATACATACACATACCTGGCCAGGATTCCTAGGACAAGCAAAACTTCATTTTCTAAATAATTCTTCCCCTAAACTGACTCAGTCTGTGGCAGGCAGGCCCATTGGCCCGGCATGCTGGGTGCCTCGTTGTCGCAGCTCATCCTTCAGAGCCTGAGCATATATTTTTTCCTATGAAACTTCCTGCCTCTCCTTCACTTGGATTTTTATAGGCAAGGTTGGGTCACAACATCCCAACAGTGCCTGAAAGCTCTGGGAGAGCTAAATAAATGAGACAGTTTCCGAGGTCTGTTTTATTCAGTCCAAGAAGAGTTTGAACTCCTTCTTCAGTGATACAGCCTGATTTATTAGCTAATCCTGATAAAATAAGCCTCCGGCCACCTTAAAAAAAATTACTCGCCTGCCATTGGTGATTAATTACTGTTAAGTCAAAAAGCATGATGAGGCTTGAAGAACAAGGGTTGCATTTGATTTCTAGATTTTCCCCAACTCTAAATTAACAACATGAGGTTCTCGGGATAGAAACATGCCTTTGTTAAGCCTGCTTTCAGGGCATATTTGTGGCTCTTTCTCTCCCCTTCTTGAATTTCCAACTTCTAATGAATCATACTGGGATAAAATTGAGGGAAAACACAGGAGAGTGGCTTCCAGTGTGGATGGCATATGTATATTATTGGTTAAGAAATAAAAGAAAAAAAGTGAAAAATAAATTAAATGCATGCGATTTCAGGTGGATATCCATTTGTTGACCACCTGCCATTTCAGGTGACTAAAGATGGAAGAGTTCTAAGGGTTAATGGAATACCTGCCATGTGTAGAGTGAACCTTAAAAGGCAATTACTCCAGTCAAATTGGGAGTCTGTGGAGGAGGGAGTGGGTGGGTGTTGTGGAGCAAACCCAGCCATATCAGAGAAAGGCTGTTGAGCTGGGGAGGCAGCACATAGCAGTTGTGGACTGAGGTAATTACTGTAAAGGTAAATTTACCCCCTGGAGACCAGAAAGCAATTGGGCAGGGGGAGATCTGGGTGCTAAGCTGAGAGAGAAACCAGGAGAAAACCCAGGATTGCAATTTGAAGAAACAACACCCAAAGAAGAAAACCCAGTGTAATGCAAACTCTCATGGCTAATTCTGAGTCTTCTTTTCCCCCCATTAGAAGCACTTTGAGGAAGATTGTTTTTCCAGGCTCCAAAGAAAAAGACATTGTACTATTGATTTAAGAGGAGAGAGGCAAACTCCCGGGGTAGCAGCAGAAGTGAGCTCAGGACTAACTTTGCCCCTTCCTATAGAATTGTTCTCCCTTGAAGAAGGGAACAGGTCACCCACTGGTCTCATTCTTCCCTTCTCTCACATTTTATTCATTTCTCTTCCTTTTATTTCCTGGAGAACAAACGGAGCCAGTGACTGAAAATAGACACACACACACACACACACACACACACATCCATGACTGCTAACACACACAGCAGATCATGCATGAAGAAGCCCGCAATCCATTCATAACTTTGGTCTTGTCTAACAGGATAAAAGGCAGCAAAGACTGAGTTACTGGGAGACATAAAGACTAGTGCTCTCTGGGTAGCCATATTATAATGCGTTATCTTTGAAGTCATTTAAGTCCAATTTAAGAGATATTTAGTATAATATTTATGAATTAATGTAATCTAAACATAGGGCTGTCCCCAAAGGTTTAAGCAGCCTTTACTACTGAAGTGTGCTTGTTCCTGGAGCCTGCAATGCATTTTTATCTAAACAGCCAAGTCCACATTACAGTCCCTCTAGTTAACCAGTTAGAACACATCTGTGGCCTGGGTAACCACTCTGCATTGAGGTCATCCTCTGCTGCAGGGAGGGAAATCTAGTCTACTGGCAGCCCTGGAGCCACAGCAGCAGGAACTTTCACCCCTCACACTTTCATACAACATCCAGAGGGAGGGTGGGAACAGAGTGATGGAACCCTCTGTGGACTGAGCCCTGGAGAGCATATCATTTTAAAATGTACTCATCACCAGATGCACAACCTCTCAGTTCAGCGGTATCTGACTAGGAAATGCCCGAAGCCCCATGATTTGGGGTGTTGCTGGGAGAAAGGGAAAGGGCAAGGGCTGTGATTATGTTTGGGCGATTTGTGTACCATCTTCACAAAATTATGTCCTGTGTTTTCACGTAAGATGTCACAAGTCTCGGAATATTGAGTTTCCACCGCTTGACTTTGGCCGAGCTGGCTAGTTGTTTTCCTGAAATAGGTGAACCAAAGCCGGCGAGGCTCTGGTGTCCGTTCCAAAGGAGTCCACGAGGCAGTGACGCTGAAGCATCCTCATGGGCACCAGTTCAATTAACGTGAACTTTTTAAAAAAATTACTTTGAAAAATAAAGATTTATTTCTCTCCAGGGAAAGACTGGTAGAACAGCTGGGCACACACCCATAGTTGTTAAAAGAAAGATGTGCCTTGTGAGAAAGAGATATGGAAAATGGGATAGCTGTGATGAGAAAAGAAGAAAAATATTTTTTTAAAAAAAACAAGTTTCACTAAAGAAAATAAGCAATAGCAATCATTAAAAAGCTAAAGTAAACAAAACCAAACAGGTCCATAAAAAACCTTCAAATTCCAAGTGTTGATAAGTATCCTACTTGGGAGCAAAGAAAAAAGTATTGGGAAATGACCCCTTTATTTAAGAGACTAGTGGTTATTTGCTGCTTGTGCACAATTTCATTTATCTTCTAAACAGACTTCCTCAGAATCAACACACAGAGA